TCTCTTGGATTTTGTTCAAGCAACACCCTTAGTTTGCATTCTGGGTACCAAACCCACATGGTTAAGTGTTCTCCAAGGAGACTTTTTTTTTGCTTTATTCCATTTCACTTAGGACTGAATCCAAGAGAGGCAGCCTCCCCATCTTCTCTCTGTGGGCCAGGATTTTTCTGCTTTGCCTTTCAGGGATTCCATATTTATAGAAGATTCTTGGAACAGATTTTTTTTATCATGCTTGTCTCAGGCTGATCACCATCTCTAGGTCACTGGAGACCAACAGATGATCCCAATGTAAGCGTCAGCTCCTACACTCACTGACTCAGAGGTTTCTCCTCCTCTCTGACCTGGAAGGCTTTCTTTTCTAACAGTCCAGGCATACATTTGAAAACATGCTTTTAGTGTACTTGTATTTAAAAAATGAGAGGAGAAAATGATAAATATTGTATAAGAATTTTATGTGTGTGTGTGTTGGCTTGTATATGAATTTTTAAAAAATCTCTGCAAGGATAAGCAGGAAACAAATAATGCTGAGTAAGTCGTGTTGGGAACGAGACAGATGGGGGACGAAGGTGACTGGGAAGTTTCTTTATCTAAACCTCTTAATATTTTAGTGATTTGAACCATGTGGATATATTACCATTTCAACGAATTAAATACAGAATATAAACTTTTTCCCACTGGCAATCTGGAGTTCTCTACTGGGTGAGTTTCTCCAGACAACTAGTCTACTCTTCTGTTAGAAATGGAATAGTGGTCATTTTTGTGGTTATGTAAATTTCCGATCATGGTTTCACCTCTTCCCAGCCCTCCAGCTGAACTCTGTAGATCAATATTTTCCCAACTATCTGTGGCAAAGGATCAGTTCTTTAAAATTTTCCAGTCTGTCAGGGACTGACACTTTGGTAAACTGCAGTGAAACTCAACTACTGATTACATGCTTGGATGGCACGGCACTGTCAAATCAGCTATGAAAGTTTCTAAACACTTTCTCTCCATTTCTTCTCATCGCTGGCCAGTAAAAAGCAACTTGTGGACAGCCGCCACACTGAGCAGCACCACTATAGATGGGAGTCATTATTTTCTGGCATTTGGTGCTGTGGATCAGAAGTCGATACCACACTGTTCTTTAAATGTTTTTCCACTGTAGGTGGTAACCCATTTTCTTTCTGTACGGATGTATTATGGCCTTATCTGAAACACTGGGTGTTTGCTGCAGCACACCCCTCCCTTAATTAGGGGAGCGAGCCTGTGGCTCACTGCTGGGGCTGATGGTACTGATGTACTGTCAGAAATCGTTCATAGATTAGTAGTGTATTTCATCTAACTTAAGATGCATTGATACTGGCATTTTCTTGATGGGTTCTAGCAGGGTTGCTTTTCATGCTACTGAGTCAGGACTGCCATCTGGCTGCCAGCAATTGTAAGATGCCATTGATTTCCAAGATGTTAAAATGTGGAAGAACACGTGTCTTAAAATATCCTGCAGATGGCCCCATGATTGTTCCAGCCTCAAATTACTGTTTGAATGCGTGGAGACTTGCTTATGAGAAGGAGGGAAGTTGCCTTTCGTGACTTCCTTTAGAAACTTCAGCACTCTGCCTTATGGCCCCTTCTCTCTATTGTGACATCCTGACATGAGCTGGGACACATCCTCTCTTGTCTAATTGGTATGGCTTCCCTCATTAGGAGCCCTGTGCTGCAGCTGCCTTGGGATGGACCAGTCCTGAGAACCTTGGCCAACTTATCTGAATTGATGGCTCTGGTATATCTTCCAGTGTCCTTAATAGATATTTTTCTCATCATGGAGGTTTTTTCTTCCCCCCATACTTTCAACTTCCCCCTGGTCCATCCCTGCCATTCTGAGCTTGTGAATATTGGCAGTTCTGTGATTTATCCCATTTTCTTGCTTGCCATCCAAGCTGCTTGGTAGTTCTTTCAATCAGGTGTTGTGTGGACTGTTTGTTATAGAAATTTCTCACATTTTTCTGGTTACTCTTCAGTATTTTTCTGATGCAGATAGAGATTTTTTTCCCTCCTGCTCTTTTTATAGTTCTTTGGCCACTTTAATGGCATTTTGGGATGAAGGGCAGTTAATGTGTGGGTTCATAACATTGTCCTTCGTTTATTTCTCCACCACATACGTATTGAATGCCTGCTCCAGGCATAGTTCTAGGTACTGAGTACAGCCATAAACAACAGTCTAAGCTCCACTGGGACATTCACTCTGCTCAGTTCTGGTTTTCCTCAACTGGAAGCTTACCTGGTTCTACTCGCCTGAATTTTTAGATATCCCATTAGAATGTCAAAAAAAATTTTTTTTAACCTTAGAACTTAGTAATTTATTGGTAGCTTGGTACAGACTTTATATAGATTTGGCACTCGTGTATTCTCCAGAAATGAATGTTAATTTATGTATCATTTGTTTTTAGCCGATTACACCTCAACAAGAAGGCAACAGACAAACAGCCATATAGCAAGCTCCCAGGGGTGTCTCTTTTGAAACCACTGAAAGGAGTGGATCCTAACCTAATCAACAACTTGGAAACATTCTTTGAATTGGATTATCCCAAAGTAAGTACAGTGTTGTACTCATAGGAATGGGCTAGACCGTATGTTTTTTTCTTCCTCATAGTAAACACTTAAAGAGGAATTCTGACACTGTATCAAGTGAAGGTATTAAAAATTCATGATGGTGTTGGCCTCATAAAATGTATGCTTTATTAACAGCAGTAGTAATCACAGGACAGAAATGGGGTTGAGGAAGGGGTATAAATTCCTTTTCTAACTGCCTGTAGGTTGATCTGAGTTAGAAATCCCTGAGTAGAGCTCCTGGAACTCAGGCATTAAGTGCCTGGTAGTTTGAGTATAAAGATTTTTATCCCATGAGAGTCATAGTGATAGGGAAGAGCAGTGTTCAGTGGTCTGACGTCAGAGGCAGGGCAGCCAGAACTAATGGTAAATCCCATTGAAAATCTGGCCTTTGGGGTTAAAATCAGTGGTAATACCTAATTTTTACTTTTTCTGGGTTTTGATACCCAATTGGATTGCTTTTCTCATTTATCTATATAACCTGTTCATCTCTAAACTCCGTTTATTCCATTTCTTGGAGACTTCAGTTTTCTTGAGATGGGAGTATTCTTTTTATTTCTTCCTTTTAGTTTCTTAGGAAAGCTTAACAGGCCTTTGTTTTTATATTTAGCTCTAGAGCAGCTTTTTAAATTGCCTACTGGAGACACTGCTTTTGAAGAGGCGTTCTGGTGGTGGTGGATTACCTGTGAAAATACACCTGTAAATTTCTACCTGCCTGATTTTCAGTCCAGTTTAATTTCTCCTTTGTGGTCTCCATCCACTTGCCTCAGTTTTCCCCCTTATTGCCTCAGTTTTTCGACAGTTTTTGCCGCTTGGAGACTCTCCCTCCTGTTTCTTTAGGACAGTGTAGCCCAAGTCGTGAGTAGGAAGAGGGTATGTGCACACCACGCTTCTCGTGGTCACTGGTTTTCATGCTGTTATTTCTTTTCTTTTAACCAGCGAAAAAACTAGAGGAGACATAGAAGCAATAGCCTTCATGCCGCTCTTATTAAGTATGTAGACATGAGTATCATTCAGTTACTTTTTAGTGTTGCCGTATTATCACTTTTGGAGTTTTGGAGTCTAGATATTTGAAGCTAATTTGAAGCAGAAAATTATATATTCCTTCTGGTTTGTGTGTGTCTGTGTAATAATTTTAGAGATCTCAATCATGCCTGCATTATCTAGTTAATAAATTACATATATAATTTTTTTAAATAAGAAGCTATATGTATTTGACTTTTTTTTTCAAACTACAAATGCACACAGTGGCCTTTTTATTAGAGAGACTCTGGTAGCTCAGGAAGGTAAATGAATTGAGATAAATTCAAATAAAATAAATAGAGATAAATAAAAGTTATTGTAAAATAAGCTTTGTAATAAGAAAAACGGAAGTTTTTCAAGCGTCACATTATAAAAGTAAGTGCAAAGGAGAATTTATTTTTATGACTGGAAGAATATTTTCCTTTATTATGAATAAATCTCAGAGCATAATGTGGAATCATATGCATTTATCCTTGTGAGACTTAACCTCACATTTCAATTTTTTTAACCATCAACCAACCCTATCCGCTTTCTCCATTCAACCACTCTTAAAACTTAGTTATGGAATTTTTATATTGCAGCTCTTGTGGGGTGACACTCATGGAACTTAAATGGTTTTGGAAGTTACTGTGGGTTTAAGGTTTCTTAAAATAACTGCAGGAACATATGTATCCATTAATTAGGGACATTTGGAATGAGTCAACAATTGATTTCTTCTTCTGAATGAAAAAAAATTTTTTTTAATTGCAACTTGGAATTATTTCTAGAGTTCTAGTTTTCACTTGGTTCTTTTTCCTTGAAGCTGTGTCATTAAGGCATTTGAATTTGTTGAGGAGAAAGTCATTCTGACGCTTATTATAAAATAAATAACATTATATGCAAAGATTGTTTTTTTTGGGTCACAATTTTATTTTCTAATTATAAAAGTATTGTTAGCTGTGCAGATGGAGAGTTTAGAAAGCAGAGCAGAAGTGGAAAATATCTACAATCTAAAGGAAAATTCTGATCTCATGGCGTTTTACTTGTTTTTTAAAAGACCAAACGCCGTGGCAAAGTTTCCTCACTGACTGAAATTAAACCACTGAAATCACACAGATCTGAGTGTGAACACGAGTTGTCACCAACAAGGCAGGGAGTCATGAAATGAACATTTGTGTGACTGCCAAGCCCAGCACACTTAAATATTTGCTTTTTGTCAAGTATGAACATTGTTTTATAAAAGTATGGAGATGTTTTCATTCTGGATGTAACTTGTAACTTTTTCCTCCATTATTTGATTTGGAACGTTATAGACTGGAAAAATATATATAAACATGTTGAAATTCTAAAGTGTTATTTAATTTTGGACATGTATAAGGTTTACTGCTGGTACTTGTTCTGAATTTCTAGGTTTAAATTTTGGTGAGACTGTTGTTGTATTAATTGCCCTGAAAGATGCTTTAAACATCTTATAAATTCACCTTATGTTGCTACTGATTCTTGGAAAAAAGTTCTTCTTGGAAAAAACATGAGAATGAAAAAGTGATATAATTCATTTTTCACAAAATTGAATACCCATTTGGCATCAGCATGGAAGGCATTTATGGAGAATTTCAGCCATAGCAAGAAGATCCAGTACTCTGCATCTACAGTTGCTTGATGGCTTTACTTTACAGCCATATGAAGAATTTTAAAATTAATGGTCAGTGTTATTAACAGAGTGAGGCTATGGCAATTGTGATTTTCTTTTCTTTTTGTGCAAATATAAAATTGGTTAAAAATCTTCTAAGTCCACTGCCTTATTTAGATTCCTTTATTATCAGTGGTGTAGCTGTCCTTAAGAGAAAATTAAGAGAATAGGGGTCTTCTAAGAAAGAGTTAAGCATTGAAAACAGGATCAATTATCAAAAGAGCAACACAATACAGTGTCGTAAAACTACTAAGTCTGAAAGATTAGGAATTTACCAAATTATTCTGAAAAACTATAAAGTAGTTCTTGAAAGTAGGTAAGTTTTTAATGTGACTCATCAAACCTTTGAATTCAGAGAAGTTTTCTTACAGAACATCTTTTTCCTAGCATCTGTCTTTCACTCAGAAGTTACCGCAGGACAAATGTATTAACTTAACAAAATTTTCTGTAAACATGTGTAGTTATTATAAATAATTCACGATATTCCTGCTTGATGTGCAATATAATATATATGTTAAAATATTTCTCTAAGAGGATATTTTCTGTTGTTTACTATAGGAAAGAGTTTACATTCCTAATGTCTACAGGGCTGAATCAATGAGGAGATTTAAAAAATATTTATATACATAAATCTAGTATTATTTAAGGATCTAAATTTACTCATAAAAGCAAAAAAAAAAAAGTAGCATTCATGATTATGGCAATTTCACATATTTAGTTCTTAAATATCAAAGGGCCAGATCCCAGTTTGTGGATTTTCTGTACCTCTTCTTGTACTTCATCATTTCACTGTTTGAAAAGAAAAAAGGAAAATCAGTCTACCTATTTGTACAGCAGCCTTACTAAAGATTTGATGAAGGCTCATCTCATCTAAAATACTCTGGGATTTATCTCTAGATTTTAGTAGTCATACTGCGCCCATTTATAGTGAAATTTATTATACTTTATATCCCCTTCAGATTAGTAAAGTAAGTATTTTTCTTAAAATTATTTTAAAATGTAGTATTTTAAATAAACACTGTATATTTGAACATATATATATATATATATATTTATACCTATTTCTTTAGGTAGTATAAAAATACCTGAAAAATTATTTAAAAAAATTTTTTTTCAACGGAGATACTGAGGATTGAACCTAGGACTGCGTGCATGCTAAGCACATGCTCTACCACTGAGCTATATACCCTTTCCCTCAAAAATTATTTTTTGCCAGCTAAGGAATCCTTTAACCAATTTAATATCTTGTGTTTTGTCAGTTGCAGTGTAGTTGGAGTGACTTAACTGTTGAAATACAGAGATTCCTAGCAAATAAAATGTTCAATCAAACTGTGATGCCCCAGAGGTGATTATCCTAGCTGAAAAATGAAAATTCCTGGCTAAAACCTAGTACTTTAGAAAAACAGCTGGAATGCTACTTCCAGTTTGGTATAATTTTCATTATCAGAAACCAATAAGCGATGTGTTTAATAAGAGTCTGAACACTTTTCAGTTGATGTGAACTGAGTTTCATTTGCACTCTGGCTGAAATCAGGAGGTGTTTGCTTTTCATTTGAAATTAAGTTTAAGAGGTATAATCCATAACACCAAAAACTAAACCTTGCATTTGAATAAAGGTTAACTGTACCTCCTTTACTTATACTAACAGCATATATTTCTCAAAAATTTTTGCTGCAACCTAGTATAACTTTTTTCTTCCCATGGAGTAGATTTCTAGTACTATATAAAGCTTCCTCTTGCTGGGGAAAAAAGCTAAGACTAGCTTTTTAATAATATTTTATGGAACTATATTGCTTATAAACATTTTCTCCCCTTATGTTCATGCATACCTGTAAAACAGCGCAAATTATAAAAGCATTAAAGAAACTGTGCTGTGTTTGGAAAAACAAGGAACTCTTTAGAGCAAGCCCAGCTGAGCAGCTCACTGTCGAAGGAAAACTAGTTGTTACTTTTACCCTTTGGAAAGTCACTTAACCTTTCTAATCTTCATTATTAAGGTCACTGCATTTTGGCAGCTCAGCTGAACATTGTTTTGGTTGGAAGGATGGTTGACGCTTTATGGGACTCAGAGTCAACTCTTGAAGAAATTTCAGGGTGTGGCAGGAATGGGTATCTATCCCATTCTCCGATTTTCATCTGATCTCTGAAGACCAGTGGCTGCAAAGTTGCTTAATTATTTCAGTACCTCTCAGGTGGCAATTTTGGTCAGTCATCATGAAAGGTGGATATTAGATAGAATGTGCAATAATAGTAGGTGGAAAGAATGAGGAAAGTATACATTCCTTTCCCCTCTACTTAATTATTGAGAAAACATTTTCTTTCTCTTAAAAAAAAAAATCTTACTTTGTTTGCTAAACCTCCTTCATTGATTTTAGTTCTGGTCCTTACGTGCTCAACCACTAAATTCTATTGTTGCCACTTTTTGCTGGGATAATATATATTATGCAAACAGTAATTAATTATTGTGCCCAAGGGTGCTGTAAAGGTTTTATTTCCACTTTTTACTTGTGTATGCTTATCAATGGAAGTAAATAAAACAAGCCCTCCCATTACCTGAGATAGTCCCTGTATGTTAGACAGTTAAAAAAAATTATGTCCTTAGTTTTGTTTTTTAGAACACATAGCTTTGTTAATTTTTCGTGGACCTAGTTAATCTCCCTCCTTTGCTGAAAAATGTTCAATCTGTTTTAGAAAGAGGGTTTGGTAGGAAATTTGCCCTTGAGTCAGCATGAATTTATCACTACTTTTGAGGAAAAAAATTACTGCTTAGAATACATATCCCACAAAATAATACAGTAGCATCCTTATATGTGAAAGCAAACATTTCAAAATTTCAGTAGTTCATTAAATGGTCAAGTAGAGGTTTAGTTCAAGATTTTATAAACCTTCTTACAAGTCAGAATTACCTCAGAGATTCTGATTTCGAAAGTTTTTAAGAATGGGGCCCAGTATTCTCTTTTTCAAATAACTATCCCAGGATAATTTTGACACAGCCAGTCACGTGCTAAGAAATGACTTCCTTAATTTACTGCCAGCAGTAAACATAGCTCTGGGCAAAATAAAAGTCCTAGGTGTTTTCATAGTTAAAAGGCTAAGCATGCCTTTCAGGCTGGTACATTTTTAATCAAATCAGATTCTATTTTACTCCAAAAAATGATTATACAACAAAAAAATCTTAATATCATTTTGTCCTTTTCATGTGAAGAGTTTGGGAGCCCCTTAAATTTATCATAATGGTATTTAATAGGTAATTTTTAGCACCTTGAGGAAATAGTATTAAGTTCAGAGACCAGTCTTCAAGAAAATGGAGGGTGTGTTCATTCTGTTTGCTTACTATGTTGCTTTCACACTGCTAGGCACCCTGTGAGCATCTGGTAAATCTTCAATGACGAAGGCCACGGAGAAGCTTGGGATCCAGTTTAACTGCTAGGGTCATGCCTATCTGGGAATGGCAGGGCTTGGCTGTGGGCCCCACCAATCTCTTCACCCTCTGTTCAGCTTGCAAACAGGCCCGCTCTGGAGAAGCTGCTGTCCATTAAAGTAGCACTTGATAGTCACTGAAGTGTTCTCATCCGTTATGAATACTCTCTTAACTTTTCAACTTTGTGTGGACAATTGCTTGTTTTTCTTACTGCTTTTTGATCCGTTAGTACATGCTAATAATAAGTGCTTGTTTTTGCAAAAGAGGTTAATTTACATAAAATATGTTTTTTGACTAGTATGAAGTACTCCTCTGTGTTCAAGATCATGATGATCCAGCCATTGATGTGTGTAAGAAGCTTCTTGGGAAATATCCAAATGTTGATGCTAGATTGTTCATAGGTAAGTAACAAATTCTGCGATAACCTTTTTGCTTGAATACATTAAGGACCAGTAATCTTCTTCGCATTAAAGCGTAGATTAGGGTGTTAGCCACCCACCAAAGTTATTAGCACGTTTGCTTTATGCATGTTTGTTAGATGTAGTGAAAGGTGTTTATAGAACCTTTTGAGAAAACTTAAGTTATAAAAACAAAGGTTTTTTTTTCATACCTAGGATTAACAGAAGTACCCCCAAATTATGCCTTACTTATCGATTAGACATTAGAGTCAGTTATTTTTGTTTCTTTAGTATTTTCAACTGGTAGCCTTTTCTATATCTCATTGACTGTAATCGGGAGTGGGTGATAGAATTCACTTTTGTTTAATATCGCAGAAAGAATCTTTTTCCAAAGGCCTACAGGCTTATTTTAAAGATAAACAATGTAATTTCCTTTTTGAGAGTGAACAATTTTTTCTAAATATATTATTGTGAATAATAAGGAACATGAAACAAAATGTTAAAGTATGTTTAAATTATTAAATATGCAAGTGCTTTTCATTCTCTCTGCTATTCATTTGTGTAATAGAAAATATTTTCAAGGGGGAGTGCTTGCTTAGCATGCACAAGGTCCCAGTTTCAATCCCTGGTACCTCCATTAAAAAAGAAAAAAAAAAAGGTAAATAAATAAATAAATCTAATCCCCCCCAAAACAAACAAGCCAAAAAAAAAAAAAAAAGGCTACTTCAAAAAAAAAAAGAATACTAAAAGAAAAGAAGATATTTTCAGTGTTGCATGAATCTCTCACTGCTGTACTTTTAAATTTTTAGGTGGCAAAAAGGTTGGCATTAATCCCAAAATTAATAATTTAATGCCAGGATATGAAGTTGCAAAGTATGATCTTATTTGGATTTGTGATAGTGGAATAAGAGGTGAGGTTTTTCTTCTTTATTTTATAAAACTTCTCACTCAGTGACAAAAATGCCAAAAGCAGTCTGGAAATACACTTGTCAATCCTATTTGTTTGCCTAATAAAGTCATTCATTTCATCATTATTTCATGGTACTATGTCAAATCATACTAAAATTTTGATTTTTTTTATGCTGACTGGAATGTTACATGTGTAAAAAATGTTTTCATTTTGAAGAGAAAATTCCAGCTATTAAAAAAAAATAGTTGTGAGTCCATTATGTCATCTACTAGCTTTTCCACAGGTGTAAATTTTCCCTTGTTCATGTGACACTTCCCTTTTACTTTAATCTGTTTGTGACGTGTGCAACATACTATCTCAGGGATGGAAATTAATAGGTGCATATTTCACTAGACATGTATACATTTATTAGAATATATTCATGGCTTTTTACTTAGCTGATTTTAGCAGGAAGCCACTTATATATTTAAATTACAATTTTCACTTTTGCATTTTTAAACATACCTATAATAGTTTCAGTGTTCTCTAATATTAGGCTATATTCTAATTACCTCAAGTTTCTCAACCTCAACCCTTTTGGGCTGGGTATTTCATTGTTGTCAGGGCCATCCTGCAGGATGTCCAGCAGCAGCCCTGGCCTCTACCCCCTCGATGAAGTTGCACCCCCTCTCTCATTTGTGACAGCCAGAGCTGTCTCTAGACATGGCTAGATGTCTTCTGCAGAGCAACAGTTGACTATGTGTATTTAAGGATTTATACAATAGATTTAGCTCCTTAAATACTTGAGGGAAATAGAGTGAAGTCATATAAAATGATACAAGATTTTTCCTATTTGAAAATGAGGCTATGATTTAAATTTTATCAGCTTAAAATGTGCAAATTTGAAAATCAAGTGTGGCACTCCTAATTAATTAGGATCATTACAGATGTATCAATTCACGGGCAGAGATTATGTTCATTTTTCACATTTGCTGTCTTATATTATTTACTATCATGTATTTGTTTGTTTTCAATGTACAAATCTCTATCAGGTACATTCTCATTCAGTTCCCATTAGCAGTTTTATGAGGTAGAATATCTCATACCCTCCAAGAAAGTGAAGGCTCTTTTCCTATGGTTGGAATAGAGGAGCCAGAAAGACAATTGAGGTCCTTTGACTTTTGCTCCTGTACCTTTTCCACTAAGACACTTTGTCCATTATTCCAGTTTGAAGGGTCTGAAACAGGCTGTTAACGTTTTCAAGGTATATCCTGCCTCTGGTACATATGAGGTATACACTACCCTGCGAATGTCCAGAATAAGTTGGCTGTCATAATTCAGCCTTTTTGAAATTTTGTATTCTACTCAGGTGATGGAGATTGATTTTATTACATCCAAATATAAAGAAAGAATTTATTAAGAATTTAGTAACTCACAAAATGTCTTTTGCATTGGTGGGCACTTTGCTAAAAGGAAAGTGTTTTCCTCTCTCCCTCTGCACCTTTTTTTTTCTTTTGTATCATAGTGGTTCCAGACACACTCACTGACATGGTGAATCAAATGACAGAGAAAGTGGGCCTGGTTCATGGGCTGCCCTATGTGGCAGACAGACAGGGCTTTGCCGCCACGTTAGAACAGGTAAGTGCAGTGGTCATAAATAATATTCTTGTCGCGGGGAGAGTATAGCGCAAGTGGTGGAGCACATGCGTAGCATGCACAAGGTCCTGAGTTCAATCCCCAGTACCTCCATTACAAAAAAAAAAATAAATCTAATTACCTCCCCCACTAAATAAATTAATTTTTAAAATAATAACAATATTCTTGTTACCAGACCCTTAATCACCCAGAAGCCAATGCTGAGTGTTGGGATGAGCTCCCTGAAGTGAACTGTATGAGGTCTGTTTTAACCTACTGACTACTGGAATCCTAAATTGAAAGTAGCTGTTTTCCTTAGTGAAGAAATGCTTGGCCCCTGGGATCACTCACAGCGAACTTGCTGTGCCCTGGCAGTGAATGATGATGTGCCCAGGAAACGTCTTGTGTTCTCATACACTGAGGACAGTATATTCTTTCTCCTCGTGGTCCTCGCTTTCAGTCCTAGCGTTCAGTTCCACACTGTTGACATACATAAAAGTACGTGTTACCTTGTTCTTTCAAAGATCCAGTCTGAGAAGAATCTGTTTTAAGTATCACAAAGTATTTCAAATACACAAAAAAAGGGGAAATTGTTCATATAATTACCAAACCCATTTGAATCCCTTCTAAAACAGATTTCTAAAAATTATCTGAGCAAACTATTTTGTGTTTTCCATTTTTTAATCCTCACCTTATAACAGAAATATAAACTTAGTGTGTAGCCAACTATAAATTATGGGAAAATATAAGTAGTAAACAAAAAAAAAATCTACTCCCAGAACCCTACCAATTAGAGGAAGTTTCTGTTTCTCAAAACTAAGATGGTTCTTGTTTTAGCCTTTTAGCATCTGCATATTTAGCACATTTTTTTTCCTATGTATCTTCTGAAAAACAAAGTTGAGGTAGTACTCAGAACAATTTGTCTCTTATTTTTGTCACCTCATAAGCTTTTCCCCATATCATTAATAACTTTTTATAAATGTAATTTTTATTGTTTCTACCAGAGTCTATTATATGTGTATCATGTACTTGACTTAACCATTCCTGTGCCGTTAAACATTTAGGAGGAAAACTTACCTTAATGTTGTCAGGGAAGAATATATGGTTTCAGTCTCTAAGTATATCAGTTTGCTTTTAAGCATATCTGCATTTATGTTCTTTTGAATTATAATCATCTGAGCGGATAAAGGTACACTTAACCTTTGACAATTTGAACCATGATTTTTTTTTTTTAATTGAAGTATAGTTGATTTACAATGTTGTGTTAGTTTCTGGTGTATAGCGTAGAGATTCAGTTATACATAGATGTATTCTTTTTCATATTCTTTTTCATTATAGGTTATTACAAGATATTGAATGTAATTCCCCATGCTTAATATTGCCTATGAATATACTTGTCCTGCTGCAGGAAATCATTAGTCTTAAATACCAGAGTTTTTCTTTAGTAAAAGAAACTCTGGGTGGTTACTTTAAAATAAAATAACTTTTTATTTTTATGTGCCACATTGTGTTTTTGTTTTGGAAATATCCAGCTGATTTATATGTCAGTAATAAACATCTCCTACATTACACTCACTTTCTTAGTTTGGGTTTAATCCCTAAAGGTCACTCTGCCATCCTCAGAGTGAATAGAGATCGCCCAGAGGAGTTGCTTCAGTCTGTAAAGAAATCCTAGGAACCTACAACACAGTATCTAGTCCCACCTCATTCCTCAAACCTCAGTTAATAACTGCTTAGGGAATTAAGATGTGTGCTTCTGGTTTTAGAAGTTTGGTTCAGTTCAGCCCCACAAACATTAGGACTTCATTCCAGTCTGGACTTCGGTAGCAAGAATCAAATTCTTAACCACCTCTGATAATTCTCTTATTCTGCATTGTGTATGTGACTTCTGCCACTGAGAAAGATTAACTGCTCTCTGTTTCAAGCTGCAGTTGCCCTCCATATCTTTGGGTTCTACTTTCATAGATTCAACTAACCACAGATTGAAAATACTTGGGGGAAAAAATTCCAGAAAGTTACAAGAAAGCAGAATGTGAATTTGCCATGAGCCCGCAACCTATTTATATAGCATTTACATTGTACTTAGACCTCTTTGCACAGTATTTACATTGTATTAGGTAGTGTAAGTAGTCCAGAGGTGATTTAAAGTACACCAGGGCGGGTGTGTGTAGATTATATGCAAATACTGTGCCATTTTTATACAAGGGACCTGAGCATCTATGGATTTTGGCATGGGCTCCTGGAACCAATCCCCGCTGGGTGCAGAGAGATGACTAATTAGAAAAGACACCATATCTAAGATGTAAATAATAAGTAGGGTATATGTCTAATACGTTCAGTAATGAGCATCTTATTCTACCAGTAATTTAGCAGCTTGCATTTCTCCTGACTTCAAGGCATATCTAGGAAAAGGGCAGTAAAATGGGAGGCAGAATTTTAGTGTCCACCCTGTTTATGAAAAATACATTGAAAAACTGGGGAATTGGTAAGAAGCTCAGTGACTCAGGGGCAGGAAGCAGCTAGCTATAAAAGGAATTAGGAAACAGGATTATTCTGTAGGTTGATATACCTATAGGTGTTGTGTGTTTGCGTGTATACATATGCGTACATATACCTATGTATGTAGATGTGTGTGTGTATTTACATGAACATTCTGAAAACAGAACATACTGAATTTTAATGTTTTATGTATCAATGAGCGATATTTCTAACCATCTCATTTCAGTTCAGATTAAGTTTTAATTTGATACATCTTTGAGTCTTGCGGTTTTAGAGAAACACACATTCATTTGAGAATGGAATATACGTTTCCCTCCTACAAGTAATAAATACTTCTTCCTAACGGTGATAACAACAAGAATAGTCAGTCAAATAAGAAATTACTAACTGCTTGCTATATGTAAACATTTTGTACGACTTTTTACCCAGGTAATTTATGTATCAGTAATAGAATATTCACCCAATCATACTTAAATTCATTAGGAGAGAGAATTTATAAACACCATACTTTACCATAAAGTTCTAATCGTATACGTATGTTTTTGTTTTGGCAGGTGTATTTTGGAACCTCTCATCCAAGGTCCTATATCTCTGCCAATGTAACTGGTTTCAAGTGTGTGACAGGAATGTCTTGTTTAATGAGAAAAGATGTGCTGGATCAAGCAGGAGGGCTTATAGCTTTTGCTCAGTACATTGCTGAGGATTACTTTATGGCCAAAGCAATAGCTGACCGGTAAGAAAAAGAAATTAAATTAGGTTGTTGTATTTTGGGTTCCTAACTTCTGTTGATTTATTCTACTTGTTAAACCTATGGGTTAAGAGCTATTTTACTTTTTTTTATTTTTTTGCTAGTGAATATAGAATAGTTTTACATTTTTAGAAGGTAATTCCTATCAATTATTCATAGATACATAACAATGAAGCAGATAAATGTTCTGATTTTTCTACATTCTTCAAATTAATGTGGTTTAAAGTGATTAAAATGAAGCTTCTCTGTGATTATGAATTTGCATTGTTATGGATATACATTTTTATGTGTTCTAGAAGAATTAAAAATATCAGTGCCGTCATAAACCAGTAGGTGAAAATTTAAAGAATGATATCAGGTTTTGAAAATTTTCCATAAATTACTTGATGTTTTGCTAAGGAGCCACCTAATGAGTCACATGATTGACTTAATAACATTTCTCTATCACAAAATGACATTCCTTTGCTTTTTTAAAGGGGTTGCTTCGTTGTATGATAACTTACTAAAGGTGCAATTTTAAAAACTCAAGTATGTTTTTAAAATTCTCTACTCACAGTGTTCATGTGGTTCATGATTCCATAGTGTTTTCCAGGAGATACATAATACCACTTTTGTTCACATTCCTTCTTGAATATCCACACATGCATTCCCCCCACTTTTTTTTTTTTTGTTTTTTGGTTAATAGTGTTCAGGGACACTATGAAATACAGAACTCACTCTGCTTAGTGCTTTCAGAATTCCTGTACTTTAAGCTTATTAAACTGTAAACTGAGGGATTATAGTCCCTTCCAGTTCCTAGATGGGACTGTCAAGAATCTCCATAATGACTAAAACATCTGCAAGTGTGATGTACCCTAAGTAGTGTGCTATCTTGAGGACGAGGCTCACCTGAACACTGGCAATTGCTTACTCTTTTTTTTTTTAATTAAAGTATAGTGATTTACAGTACTATACTAGTTTTAGGTATACAGCATAATGATTCAATATTTTTATAGATTACATTTCATTTAAATTTATAACAAAATACTGGCTATATTTCCCTGTGCTGTACAATATACCTTTGTTGCCTATTTATTTCATACATTGTAATTTGTATCTCTTCATCCCTTACCCCTATCTTGCCCCTCCCTCCTTCCTTCTCCCCACTGGTAACCACTAGTTCTCTGTATCTGTGAGTCTGTTTTTTGTTTAGTCATTCATTTGTTTTATTTTTTAGATTCCACATATAAATAATCACATAGAGTATTTGTCTTTCTGTGTCTTATTTATTTCACTGAGCATAATGCCCTCTAGGACCATCCATGTTGTTGCAAATGGCAGGATTTCATTCTTTCTCACGGCTGAGTAATATTCCATTGTGTCTGTGTGGTGTATATATATGTATATATCCTATCTTCTTTATCCATTCATCTGTTGATGGACATTTAGGCTGCTTCCCTATCTTGATAATTGTAAACAGTGCTGCCTACTCTTTAGAGTGATGAATACATAACCAGTCATGCTTGCACATTTTCATCATCATAGCTCATTTTGTAATTGTCTTCGTTTTCAGAGGTTGGAGGTTTGCAATGTCCACTCAAGTTGCAATGCAAAACTCTGGCTCATACTCAATTTCTCAATTTCAATCCAGAATGATCAGGTAAATCAACTGGCTTTCTTCCTTTCATTCTTGTTAAAAGAAAAGGGGAGGGGAGAGTGGTTTTTATATGATCTTAACTAGGTTTGAAAAAAAAAAAAAACCAACTAAAAGTCAGATTTTCGTTTACTTCCAGAATAGAGAGATTAACTTCTTTATTAAAATAAATTTAATGTCTAAATATATTTTCTTTTCTTTGTAACACTGAAAGCTTTCAAAAAAGGAATATTGAGACTACATTTTTTTATATGCTGATCTCTATTTTCTTTCTACCCTTTGAGTTTTATGATATTTATTCATCAAAGTGTAGGCCATACAAATGAATTAGTAGACTTTTTTTCCTTTGAGATGCTAAATAAAAAAGAGGAGAAAAAGATTCGTTCAATACTCTTTAAAGAGGAGGGCCTTTATATAACAGGGTAAAAATGCTGATCATTTTGAGAAAAAATTGGTTAGTCTTGTACCTAGACTGTTGTTTAAAGAAAATCCTTTTTTTTCTTTTAAGGTGGACCAAATTGCGAATTAACATGCTGCCTGCTACAATAATTTGTGAGCCAATTTCAGAATGCTTTGTTGCCAGCTTAATTATTGGATGGGCAGCCCACCATGTTTTCAGATGGGATATTATGGTATTTTTCATGTGTCATTGCCTGGCGTGGTTTATATTTGACTACATTCAACTCAGGGGTGTCCAGGTATGTGGATAGGCGTGAGAAAGTTGGCAGTCACTTGGTGGAACTAAAACACTTTTAATTTAGAAAAGGTTGGAGAAATCTATCTGAGCCATTCTTCAGCTTCCCAGCGAAGGTTAAAATCAGGTTGAAGCATTACTTTCCTTACTGGAATGTGGACACAAAGCGGAACTTGATTTTCAACTTTCAGTTGGTTATACAGTCACTCTTATTAAAGCTCCCCAAGAAACAAAGGAATACAAATAAATTGGCAAGTCTTCAAACTAAAAATATGTTAGGATAGCAGTTACTTTAATGCTGCTTCTAATCTTCATTGACATTTTCTTAACCAATATAGCATGTCAGTTAAATGATCTAAAGAGGCAGACTTGATTTTATAGTGTGTATTTAAAAGAGCCAAATCAGGAAGAGAGGGTGTAGCTCAGTGGTAGAGTGCATGCTTAGCATGCATGAGGTCCTGGGTTCAATCCCTAGTACCTCCATTAAAAAATAAACAAATAAAAATATTAAACCTAATTACCTCCCTTCTCCCCCCTCAAATAAAGAAAAAAGAGTGGAATCAAAGAATTCCATTTTTTAACTATGTCTTGAGTCTGACAGTAAATAATGTTTAATTTTTTTAATTCCTAGGGTGGCGCACTGTGTTTTTCAAAACTTGATTACGCGGTAGCTTGGTTCATCCGTGAATCCATGACAATATACATTTTTTTGTCGGCATTATGGGACCCTACGATAAGCTGGAGAACTGGCCGCTACAGACTGCGCTGCGGAGGTACAGCCGAGGAAATCCTGGACGTATAACTACAGCGCCATGACTGTACATAAAGGAAAAAAGAGAAGTATTATAAGTTATGTTTATATAAATGCTTTTAAAAATCTACCTTCAGTAGTTTTATCACATGTATGTTTTGGTATCTGCCCTTTAATTTATTTTGCATGGCACTTGCATCTGTGGGGGGAGGGTGGGGAAGAACACGTCTGTAGTCTTGGCCAAAATGATTATACTTTATTTTGTGGAAGTGGAGAATCAAGAGAATTGGTTCCAGGAACCTGGGTTTGGTGTGTTGTTCGTTTGTTTTTTAAAAATACATAAATGAATATATATATATACACATATATATATATATATACACACATATATATATATATATATATATGAATGTTCTGCAACAAACACTATGACAGTATCCTTCAGTAGAGAAAGTTTCTTCCTAGTGAGTCCACTCTTTTAGAGCATTGATGGGATGGCGGCTGCTTTGTTTTGGGGGTAAGAAAAGACTAGAAGGTACTCCCTTTCCACGTGTAGAGTGAACGGTGTGACGCAGTGACCAGCCCGCAGTGAGGCACTGACTGAGAAACTTTCTCATGCTTTATGCCTACCTCTTGTAGTCGTTGCAGAGCAAATGTAAATTGTAATAAACAGTAGCTAGGCCTTGCAAAAACAAACGGAAAAAAAAAACCTTTAAAAAATAATAATAAAAGTAAAAGAGCTGGAGTCTAGTTATTTATATGAATCTGTGAGAAATATTTTTTTGGTCTCACCGCAATGAACCAAAAGTGGTTGAGTTTGGTTTTTAATTGTAGCCATGTCTTGAAGGCATCTTTTTGACCAACTCTCGTTGGTTCTGTCTTGAACCATTGTTAATCACTGTGCTGGTAAATCTTTCCTTCCCTGTTCCTCACCTGACCCATCCTGTCTTTCCTTAACTTTTTTCGGGGCGGGGTGGGGGAGGGAATTGGGGGGGGGTTGTTTTAGTGTGAGTGGATGTTTTGATAGTTGTGAGGAAAAATGCATTTCAGACACATTTCACACATGAGCTATTTTCTTACACAGTATGTCTTATTGTTAAAAAGAATGTAATTTCATGATACAGGTATTTAATATCTTTTTTAAGTAAATCAATATTCTAGCCATCCATCAATCAATTGCAGTAGAGTATTAAGAGGGGACAGGATGAGTTTTAATTTTAAAATTAATCAGTATCCAACTAAGTCTACTGTGTATGTGTTGTTTTTTTTTTTTAATTTACTATTACAGTTAGTCTAGTCTTATTTAAATTGGATTTTTGTATTCCAGTTTGTATGACATAATAGACTAGACCAGTGCTGGTTGTAAATGCATGCTCTGTTTTGTGCTTCTCTCCCCATCAAGCCGCTAAACTTGCTTGTCAGGTTGTGCTTCACTTGTGGTGAACTGGACTTGTTTTTGTTAAAAAATATATATATATAATAATAATAATAGGCAAAAATGTAAGGGACAGTGCATAAGTCTGTCTGCCTTTTCTTTCTCTCTCTCTCTTTTTTTTTTTCTTTCCTTCTTCCTTTCTTTCTTTCTTTCTTTGTGGAACTTTTTTCCTTCGGGATTGGATGGCATGTTGTCCACATGAATGCCTGCTGCAGGGCTGATACTGGCAATATGGCAGCTTTAAACCTTAAGTTACTGCAGTTTCCATGTCAAAGCATAATGTGTCACATGTTAGCAATAACTACATATTCATAAAAATGAACACTTTTCCACTTCACTGAGCCAGTTTCATTTCATTGTCCAATGAGTCTATATACATGGTTTCAATGGCAGTGTATCTCTAAATGGGTGTATACAATGTGTACACATTACAGACGAGCTTTTTCTCTGGGCCAAACTACTTCATGCAATTTTTTTTTTCCTTTTTTCTTTTTTGCCTTATGATGAATTTGTTTGAAGGGCATTTTCTTCACGAACAAAGGCTTTGATGCATCTTCCTTTCTGTGTGAAACGGGGGTAGTGTTGTTCCCTGAGGAAAGTTGCACAGTGAAAACCAGTCTAGTTGTGACCCACTCTTGTATTTATTTTTTTTTAAATCACTGTATCACACAAACTGAATTTTGCTGACCATGTTTGTAATTTGTTGGTTTGTTTAATGAAGTTTGGTTGATGCCATCCTTTGCACTGCTGAGGTGAAATCTTGCTTCTTACTTAGCTTTCTGCTGAGCTCAGTATGGGCAGTGTAACAACAAAACCAAAATGGCTGGACAGACTTCTTGTGTTTGTAAATATGAAAAGTGACTTGTTCTGTACGTGTGTTTTTTATGTGGTAGTGGAGTATTTCCTTTAAGTGAAGCTTCACTTAAGCAGACAGAGTGATTCTTTGTTTAGCGAGTTTAGAGTGATGATAAAATCGTAAGAAATAATATAAATGTTGAAGAAAGCATCACAACAGAACTGTTGGAGTCCAAATTTAATAAACTGTTTAAAAAAAAACCAAGTGTCTAGAATATATCATGTTTATTATTTAAAATCATTGTCTTAAGTTTTTTGTTCAAAAAATAAAAATTTGAATACAGTCAAAACATTAACAATCATGTGTTTTTGTTTCCTGTCTTTCCTTTTATTTTTATATTTTAATAAATAATCTAACTTGTTCCACCATTGACATCAGAACTATTTGAAGAATTCTGTAGTGTTAATTTTGACATCTTCCCTTTACCTGTTCTGCAGGTAAGACTTATGACTTAAAGTCAGGCTTTTCTGTGTTGACTGCATGTTAAAATCACTTGGAGAAGGGGCAGGGTATAACTCAAGTGGTAGAGCACATGCCTGGCATGCACGAGGCCCTGGGTTCAACTCCCAGTACCTCCATCAAAAAAATATTTAAATAGATAAACCTGATAACCTCCACCCCACCCCCCACCCCCAAAATAGCTGGAAGTATCACCTGAAGAACTTGTTAAAAAAAAAATACAGATGCCTGGGCCCTGCCCACGGACAGTCTGGTTTAATTATTCTGGGCAGGGTCTGAGCGCTCTTTTTGGTCTGGCGCGGGCAGACTTGAGAAGCGCTGGCCCATTATAACAGTTAGAAAAGACACCGTGGTCCTTTAGTCCCCTCTCACCTATGCTTACAACCTGAACTCAACCTTTTAGCTCTTACCATCCCGAAGGCTAGGAAAGGTAGATTCAAGGGAAAGAATGGAATGGCTTTGCTACTGGAGACCTAAAAGGGAAACAGAGTGAGCGCCACTCCACACACTGTCTAGAGTCAGGCTCCTCCCAAGCTTAGAGGCAGCCCCAGGCCTGTTTTACCACCAGCCTGGAGAGCCAATCCCAGGGGAGAAAGACTCTAACAAGGGGTTTGGTGACGGCCTGTCAGAGGCACCACTCCTAGCACCTTGACCCAGTGAGCAAGCTGATTCCTCCTGGTCAGTAAAGTATGCTTCCAACCCTAACATTTAAGAAACCATCGACAGAAACTTGTGTGTAAGTCAGAGTTTTATAGCTAGGCAAACTTTGAAGAGCTCTTGCCCTAATTGTAGAGTGGAAAGCGGAGACGCCCGCTGTTGAGAAAGTTGTGAACACAAGGGATAGGTACACAGTTGTCAGCAGAGCTGGGAGGGGCCCGCGAATGTATCAGGTCCCGGTGTGGTAGGTGACTCTGCTCGGTCATGTTTAAAGCTCTGCCTACAACAGCTTTAAAACATTATGTAAGTGTTGAGGTTGTTTTTTTTTTAAGAATTCATAATTTTAGTAACCACGTATAGTCCAGCTTTTAAAAATTGTTCTAGAGAACCAGATTCAAACTTGCCAAACAAGAATGTAATTATAAAGCTGGTGTAAGATAAACGCTTTGCATATATTATATGATAGATAAGATTAGTACATACCACAAGCCTATGCTCACATGGGTGAAAAGAGCTCAAACATTTCCTTCTGCAGTTTAGTAGGATAAAGTGTTTGGATTATTTATGCAATTCAAGTCATAGTTTATGACCACATCAAGTTCCTTTTGTTGGAAAGAAAACAAGCATTGCAAATTGGTGGGCAGTTATCCCTGCAGAGCTGCAAGGAATGCATTTAATTTAGTTTCAAATCACTGTCTCCACATTTTCTAGAAACAAAAACACATAACTTTAGCAGTTTCTTAAGCAGCTAGTGGCCTAGGAACCAAAATGTGCTAAACACTTTGCACGAGCCCCTCCCCTGTCCTGGGAGAGATTGGTAGAGAGTGGGTGGTGGTTTCACGTGCTTTGGTGTTTAGTCTATTAGCCATTAAGACACCTGTGCTAACAGCATGAACTTGAATTATCTAAACCATTTAAGGATATTTCTTTCTACCCAGGACTGGAAGCATCTGTTCTGCTCTCCCCTACTGCCTCCACGCCTCCTAGCCTCACTTTGTTTTTACTTTGTTTCCTTACCCTTGGCATCAGCCCCAGAACTGTCACCTTTCCTATGACTGAGCAACAATAGGCCGGTGGAAAGAACATATTGCTTTTTGAATCATAAAAATAGTACACATTTACTGTAGAAGAACTTAAATGTAAGTAAATAAAACCACTCTTAGGTATGCACCCAAGAGAATTGGAAATAGAAGATAGTGTCCCCACAAAAACTTGAGCGTAAATGTTCATAGCAGCACTATTCATAATAGCCAAAAAGCAGAACCAACCTAAATGTTCATCACCTGACAAACGGATAAAGGAAATTTGGCATATACATACAACGGAATAGTATTCAGCCCCCCAAAAGGATGAAATACTGATACATGCCACAACACAACCTTGGAAACATTCTGCTCAGCAAAAGAAGCCAGATACAAAAGGTTGCATAGTCTATGATTCCTTTTGTATGAAATATGGAGAATAGGCAAATCCACGGCAGCAGGAAGTAGATTAGCGGCTGCCAGGGGCTGGAGGATGGGAGGAATGAGGAGTGACTCCTAACAGACACATGGTTTCTTTTTGTAGTGATGAAAATGTTTTGCAATTAGCGGTGATCTTTGCACAACCTCGTGAATCTACTTTAAAAAAGCTCTGAATTGTATACTTTAAGAGGGAAATTTTATGCTATGTGAATTATACCTCAACTTGTTTTATAAAGAAAAAATCAAAATCACTGTCAATGTATTATTTCCTCCCAGTGTTCTGACATCTGTTCCTGAAATGGTTTCAAGAAAGGAATGTGTAACTTCTCATTAGTTGGCATCCTTGCGAGAACTCAGAATTGCCATTTTCTCTTTCTAAATTTGACAGGTGAAAATATTGTACCTCATTGTTTAAATACATAGTTTTTAATGACTTGTAAGGGCAGGTATTTTTGTATGTATGCCTTTTAGCCATTAGCATCTCTTCCATGTCTTAATCGTACTTAAATGTGTCTTAATGCTTTCTTATTTCTTATTACACATCTCTTTTCTTCTGAACCATATAAAGCAATTTACATTGCCAACCAGAATACTCTGCTAAAATCTTTGCATTGAGGATAATGTTTCCCCAAGGCAAGATGGGTAGGCATGGAAATCATTGATTAGCATTTGTGCAACTCAATGGCCCCGGCAAGTGTCTAGATCAAAGATCAATTTTCCCAAATGTATTTCCCTCCCTCTTTTAGCACAAAACAATTTTTTAACTTTAAAGTAACATTATTTTTAGAGTCTATATATATTTACATTTCTGAAATAAAGCTTACTTTGGGTATTGTTTTTCCAACACATTTTTAAATTTTACTTGCTAGTATTTTATGAAATATTTTCTAGGCTGTAGAGTGAGGTTAATGCTAACTGCGAAGTCAATGGGCTTTTTTTTTTTCTAAATCTATGCTCCAGAAAAAAATTTATTTAGCTAGGAATTATCTGTTCCTTGAAAATTTAAAAGAATTTACTCAGAAAACTTCAGGGGCCTGGACATTCAATAACATTTTCAGTGTATTTCATTGATAATCATTAGTTCTACATTTTTTTATGAGTCGGTTTCAGTCATTTACACCATAGAGATGCACATAGCGTTTTCATAATTCTTTACAAACTCATTCTGGCTGCATATGCTGTTGGCCCAGAGATGTGCAGCCCCTGTGCCAACTGGACTTGGGCCTCTGTGATCTGAAAGCGGAGTGGCAGGCGAGCCCTCTCTCCTGCGACACCGGTGTCCTCTTAAAGAAGAGCTGACCCTGTTCCTCTTTCTCTCACAACACTTTAATGACTTGATGTCATACCTGCAGGATGAAACCCGAGTTTTTCTCGTGCAGAGGCCATTCTAAGTTAGGTCCCTGCCAACCCCTCCAGCCTCATCTCTTGCCACTAAACCCCTCATGTGAACTCTCCTCGTAGGAAACTTCCTGCAGTTTCCCTGACACCTGCCCTTTCCTGCTCTGAGCCTTTGTGCTGCTCTGCTTCCTCAGCTGGGTCCCCCAGTTCCTCTAACCAACCCCTTCACTGCCTTGGGGACCCTGCTAAGCTCCTCCGTGACTTATCCGGCCACGAGGTTTGTACCCTTTCCCGCGTCTGTGCCTCACAGCCCCACCCCGCACGTCCGCCCTAGGACTTCACACTCACTGTTTCAATTACCCTTTTAATGGTTTGTGCTTGTCATTAGATTGGGACTATCAAGGGCAGGGAGGCTCAGTAACACTCGACTTTGCATCCCAAGGCCCTAACTTAGGACCCGACACAAAGTCCATTATATTGAATGATTTAATGAACAAATAAAGATAAGTATGACTTTATCACTAATTTTATGCCTGTAGCTAATCACACAATAGTTAAGAACGCAGACTGAGGAGTTCAGTTGCCAGCATCACCACTTGCTCCCTGTACCTCTCTGTGCCTCAGTGGACACCAGTGTCACCTCCTTCTTGGGTTGGTGTGAGAATTCAAGATGAAAATGCAGGTGCAAAGCCACATTTTCAGTAAAAGTTTTGCATTGATAAAGATCTTGAGTCCTAGTCTGTAGTCCCTAAGTGAAAATGGAAGCTTGGTTACCCAGTCGACAAAGTAGGTCTTCTTTTCTTCAAGGTTTGAGTCAAAGAATAGTTCACAGAGGAGCAATCTTTTCTAGGACAACTGACCCTCCACCCTAGGTGGTCCAGAGTAAATATTCTAATGTCCAGGGACAAAATCAATCTGATTAATTGGAATTATTATAAACAGTGCTATTGCAGCACACAGAACACTGTCTAGGATGTTAGCACCAGTGACTGAGCTGCAAGGCATGGTGGGCAGTTGCAAGACTTCAGGATACGGGTCTGCTTTCCTGTGAGAACAGCCCACAGAGTCCCAAGGCTCTTGAGAACCTGGCGTTTACAGAGGGCATTGCACGCGTTCTGTGGAATGACTTGCACCCATGATGCGGGCGACACTCAAGGAGTTTCACCCGGCTGGAATGTTCCCAGCTATCACTCTTTTAATGGACAACTGGTTGTGTGTAATTCAAAGATCGTTTCCCAGGTCTGACTCTGGGCACTGAGAGCAGTGAGAGTGGGAGGCTGAGGTCTTTCTAGAAGTGGCCAGCTGAAAGGGAATTTTCTTCCACAAGGCTTTATAGCCTCCCTGGTTCTCGGACTGTAGTATGAGTAAGAAT